TGACCGGCATCTTCAGAGAGCAGGAGCACAGACAGGAGCAGTTCTCTCTGTGCCCAGGATGATGTGACGATGCTGGCGAAATGTTAGGAAACAAAACTTCCAGAACACGGCCACACAGCCTGGAAGACCCACACCAGCCATCGTATTCCGGCCGTGAAAGCCTTCGACAATACATCAAGCAAAATTCCTTCTCTCTCAACTTCAGTAATGCTAGATTATCTAAATCTCTTTCCATCTCTCTATTTATAATTTCTGTCTTACTTTCTCTTTTTTTAAAAAAGAACTTTATTACATTTCAGTAAAGAATAAAAAGACAGGAAGGAAAAAGAAAATAACAAGAGAAGAAAAATACAGAAAAAAAGAAAGTAACTTCCGATTTTCTTCGGTACAGGTATAGATATAAAATGCATTCACCTCTTACTCTAGTATTTAATTTTTCTGTCTTACTTTCCAAAATTTCCACTTTGTCATTAATTTGTTTTACATCTCCAGTCCCTTGTTTTACAGAATTTTCCATCTTCTTAATTTCTTCTTTCATCTCCTCTTTCATCTTTACAAGTCTTTCATCCATTTTCTCTTCAAAAGCTGTTGATATAGTATTAAGTGATTCAGACAACTTTTTTCCTAATTCCTCAAACATTTTCTGAAGCAACTCTGGTGTAATCTTCTTTCCACAGGTTGCTCAAACAATCCTCTCCTCCCTTCTCCTGTTTTTGCCACTTTTCTGGTAGTTGCCAGAATACTGTAATCCAAAAGTGAAAGTGTCTCAATTATAAAAGGGAAAGTTGATCCAGAAAGAATGTTGATCACCAAGTGAACTTTTCTTATCCTGCCACTCAGAAAATATCTCTTTAACTGTAAATTGATTACAAATGGCGGTGATTAAGAAAGTGAGGCTTTTGTGAACCTTGTGTCCATATAGGCTGCATTAGAGGTGTGAGCTTTATTGAAATCCCTTGATGCCAGCCACCTGACTCACAAGTCGACCACAAAAACCTCAGTTCCTGCAGTCTTCTCTTAAGCAGCAGCTGTCTGGAGTGAAGTGGGTGATCTCATGATCTTTCCTTGTCCGGAGAGACTGCCTCAGCCAGAATTTACCGTCTGGCTGCAGATCGCCACTGCAGTGCCATCCCTGTTCCTTCAGGGATGTCTAGTCTGCCATGGGACCTCACCTGGAAGCCAGTGTTGGAGAAAACTTCTGAGAATACCGTGGACAGCCAAGAAAACAAACGAATGGATCATTGAACAAATCAACCCAGAGTTCTCACTTGAGGCACAAATGACCAGGCTCAAATTCAGACACATTGTGTGAAGACCTAGTTTTCTGGAGAAGGCTCTAATGCTGGGAAAGGCGGAAGGAAAGAGAAAAAGATGGTGACCAGCAGCAAGGTGGATGAACTCAGTTACAGTGATGATATGTGCATCACTGGAAGACTTGAAGGACCAGGTTAGGGATAGATTATCATGGAGCAAGTCTGTGCAGTTGCTAAGAGTCAACACCAGTTTGATGGCACATAATCAGTTATTCATCTTGTCGTAATTGCTTAACATGTCCTAAATATATACATGTAAGTACTCCTAAACCTCATTAAGTTCAGACTTATATTTGAGATCCCAAAGCCCTCCAAGCTCACAGTGCTGAAATTCTGCAGCAAAATGGCAATCTTCAATGCATAGTGTTTGTCATTTTATGATGTCCTTTCCTTGTTTTGTTCAAATTCTCTAGTATTAAATAAACTAGGCTTGTGATCAGCAGGTTCATTTCTTCACATCTTCACTGATTTTCTTAATACATTGTGTAACAGTATACTCTCTTTTATGGACAAATAATATCTTATTTTCCATTCATATACAGTGATACCTCGGGTCACGAACTTAATTCGTTCCGCGACTCTGGTCGTGACCAGAATTGATCGTGACCCGAATCAAATTTTCCCATAAGGTTCAATGTAAATACAGTTAATTCGTTCTGACCCCTACGAATTTGGTCGCCAACTGATTTTGT